TAACAACAGTGAGGAAGATAACAACGGTGAGGAAGATAACAACGGTGAGGAAAGTAACGGATAGTGAAGATAACAACAGTGAGGAAGATAACAACGGTGAGGAAGATAACAACGGTGAGGAAAGTAACGGATGGTGAAGATAACAACAGTGAGGAAGATAACAACGGTGAGGAAAGTAACGGATGGTGAAGATAACAACAGTGAGAAAGATAACAGCGGTGAGGGGCGTTAACGGATGCAATGATAACAACAGTGACGAAGATAACAACGGTGAGGAAAGGCAATTGACGGTGAAGAAAGCAATATTGATGACAAGATAACAACAGTGACGAAGATAACAACGGAGGAAAGCAACGGATGGTGAAGAAAACAACAGTGAGGAAGATAACAACGGTGAGGAAAGTGAACGGACGGTGAAGATAACAACAATGAGGAAGATAACGGTGAGGAAAGCAACGACGGTGAAGATAATAAATGACGTAGTAACAACGGTGTAGGAAGATAACGGGAGGAAAAGTAACGGATGCAGAAGAAAGTAACAACAGTGGAGGAAGATAACAACGGTGAGGAAAGGAAACAGACAGAAGATAACAACAGTGACGAAGATAATAACGGTGAGGGAAGACAACGGTGAGGAAAGTAACGGATGCAGAAGATAACAACGGTGAAGAAGAGAACAACGGTGAGGAAGATAATAACGGTGAAGGAAGCAACAGATGCAGAAGATAACAAATAGATGTGAAGATAACAACGGTGAGAAAGCAACGGATGGTGAAGATAACAACGGTGATGAAGAGAACAACGGTGAGGAAGATAACAACGGTGAGGAAGATAACAACGGTGAAGAAAGTAACGGACGGTGAAGATATAACAACAGTGACGAAGATAACAACGGCAGGAGGAAGATAATAACGGTAAGGAAAAGCAACAGATGGTGAAGATAATAACAGTGACAAAGATAACAACGGTGAAGAAGATAAATAACGGCATGAAAGCAACAGATGTGAAGATACCAACAGTGATAAAGATAACAATTTGCAGGAAAAGTAATGCAGATTTGTAAAAGATGAACAGTGACGAAGATAACAACGCAGAGGAAGATAACAGTGAGGAAGATAAAATAACGGGTATAAAGATAACAACGGTGAGGAAAGTAACGGATGGTGAAGATAACAACAGACGAAGATAACGACGGTGAGGAAGATAATAACGGTGAGGAAAGTAACGACGGTGAAGATAACAACAGTAACGAAGATAACAACGTGAGGAAGATAACAACAGAGGAAGATAACAACGGTGAGGAAGATAACAACGGTGAGGAAAGTAACGGATGGTGAAGATAACAACAGTGGACGAAGATAACAATGCAGGGGAGGAAGATAAATAACAGTGAGGAAGATAACAACGGTGAGGAAGATAACAACGGTGAGGAAAGTAACGGATGGTGAAGATAACAACAGGACAACATAACGACGGTGAGGAAGATAACAACGGTGAGGAAAGTAACGACGGTGAAGATAAATAACAGTAACGAAGATAACAACGGTGAGGAAGAATAACAACAGTGAGGAAGATAACAACGGTGAGGAAGATAACAACGGTGAGAAAGTAACGGATGGTGAAGATAACAACAGTGACGAAGATAACAACGGTGAGGAAGACAATACCTGGTGAGGAAAGCAACGATGCAGAAGATAACAACAGTGACGAAGATAACAACGGTGAGTAAAGATAACAACGGTAAGGAAAGTAACGGATGGTGAAGGTAACAACAGTGGGAGAAGATAATAACGATGAGGAAAGTCACGGACAGGAAGAAAGAAGCCAACGGTGAGGAAGATAACAACGGTGAGCAAAGATAACAACGGTGAGGAAGATAACAACGGTGAGGAAGATAAAAACGTAAGGAAAGTAACGGATGGTGAAGGTAACAACAGGAGGAAGATAACGGTGAGTGAAAGTAACGGATGGTGAAGAAAGTAATGAACGGTGAGGAAGATAACAACGGTGATGAAGATAACAACGGTGAGGAAAGTAACGGATGGTGAAGGTAACAACAGTGAGGAAGATAACGGTAAGGAAAGTAACGGATGGTGAAGATAACAACAGTGAGGAAGATAACGGTGAGGAAAGTAACAGGTCGTGAAGGTAACTGTTAAAACTGACAAGTCTAAATAAACCGTGTTAGTACTGTTGAAACAAGGACTTGTGACACGTTTAGTTATGCTGTTGAAACATTTTCCTCTTCTTGATAACAGTACCCGCGTCCCTTCTCCAGGCTGAAGGAACAATACACTTCTGACAGTGAAACACCCGGATGTGTTCCCCTGTCCCTTGCACCACCTCTTGTTCTCGTCTCCTCGCTGTGTCTGACATCTCCACATTGTTTTGTTTTTGTTTTGTCTTGTACTCCTCCACAGTCCTCACCTTCTCCTATGAGGGGTGAGGCTACTACACAGACTTCTCCATCTCCCCCTTGACTCCCCCAACACTCAGACTGAGGCAGTTTTGGGGGAGAGAAAGTATGTAATAGCGGCGTCAGGTACAGGCCGTGACTGGGGACACTACTCATGGGAAGTGTTTGTACAGGTATATAAAGTAACAGTAAGGAACATTTGTAAAGTACAAGAAGACCTGCAGGAGGAGAAGGTACTCACGTTGTTAATACCGTCCATAAAGGTCTGGTACTCGTCGTAAAAGTCACACCCCGTCTGGTTGGTGATGACGATAAACTGCAGGTACTCGGCGTCCACAGTGTTACCTGTCTCAGCCTTCGGTAGCACCTCCGCCAGTCTGTGGATCACTGAGGTACCGGGAATAGTTAATATACCTTTGGCTGATACTAACTCTGCTGGTATCATGATTATATTTAACACAACAGTTTAACATCATTATCTGTCAAAACCATTACCTGCTAACACCATTACTTGTTAACACCATTATCTGTTAACAACATTACCCGCTAACACCATTACTTGTTAACACCATTATCCGCTAACACCATTATCTGTTAACACCATTACCTGCTAACACCATTGACTTATAATATGGTTACACTTAACACCCCCCTCTGCTTCCACCTGCTTGACAAGTTTCTTTTTATAGCATGACCTAAGACCAAATTCTCCCTCAAAACACACATACTACGGGGCTGCCCCTTTTATCATTTTATTGGGCTAATCCCAGACGATTGTATTCAGCTCAGAAGGGAATCCTGTGCACAAGGGGGGGTGTACCTCTCAACCTAACCTAACCTAACCTAACGAGACTGACCTTGACGATTGGGGAGTTCAGACTGGTGGTGGTCGGTGATGAGGGTGAGAGCGACGCCGGGAGGGATGGGCACCCCAGGAATCACCAGCAGGAGGAGTGACAGCATCCCCGATACAGCCACCACCCCAGAGAAGAACAGCTGGCGGGCGAGATAAGGTGTGATTGATTTTGATTTTGCCGCTTAAAGCGGCTACTTTATTGTGCACCCCACACTCATCCTGTGAGCGGTAGCGCAAAAGGATTACAGAGTAGAGTTTACAACGGGTCATAATAATTAACCCCCGTGGTCAGGATATTATGGCACTGAATGTTACACAGTATTTCAATTACATTATTTTTTTTTAGTTCTATACATAAAGGGTAACTTATTCACAAATGCGTGAATACAGGCGTGTGAGGCAGTATGTCTGGCCTCACACTTTGTTATTCACATTTACGTGAGAAGTATTCAAGCACATTGTGTATTTGGTTCTGTACACGAGAAGTGATATAATTACTGAGTGCAAAAAAGTGGATACAATCTTAATATGTCGGCTAACTTGCTCCATATACATGTTTCACTTGATACATCTCATCATGGTAAACTATGGATCGACTAGTGCCTGTTTGCACTAATCTACTTGCGTCAAACTCATCAATAAGTTCTTTCCTAATTACAGTTTTAAGGGTTCTTTTTGACAGACCCAAATTGTATTCAACGGTGTCTTTGTTAGACGCGAGTTTGGCGAGGGCATCAACTCTGTCATGTTTTATGAGGCCTATGTGAGAGGGGATCCACAACAGTTTGACCTTGACACCTCGGTCAACAAGGCACGCATATTTGTGTCTGGCTTCAGAGACAAGAGCGTGACAACCTGAGTCGAGGGTGTCAAGGGCAAGTAGTGAGGATAGAGAGTCAGTGATGATGAGACTGTCAGTAACAGTGGTTTCAATGAATTTACTAGCTGTGAGTATGGCAACTAATTCAGTTTGTGGAGTGGATGCCCAGTTGTTAATTCTAACTCCTTTGTCAATTATATTACCGTCAGGTTGAGTCACAACAATAGCACTTCCAGCCCTCCCACAGGCGGTGTTTAGAGATCCATCAGTGTAGATGGTCTGTGTGATATTATCATCAGTCTGTAGAGTGTGTATGTGTTCAAGAGCTCTCAATTTGGCAGTGTGTTGGAGATAAATACTTTGTATAATTAATTTTTTAGGCGGATATGTTCGGTATTGTGATATCGAAGGGAACTGTCCGCCAGGGTGGCAGGAAGCGCTGTTGTGTCTCAACTTTGTACAGGTGGTCTAGTCCAAACATCTTCATATGTGTACTTGCGTAGCTGTAGTTTGGATCCATTTCAACTCACCAGTCCCATGGTTCATATATTCTAGCAATTTTAAGGAAACAATGTTATCAGGATCACCACGCAGAAGCCTCAGGGCTATCATGAGGTTGACTTCAATTATTCTATCTTTAACACTGGGTATACCTAGTTCTTTCCTCATATTTAGTACTTTAGTGCTCATGGGACATCCTAGGATAATTCTGAGGGCTTGATTTTGCATTTTCTCGAGCTTGTCAACGCCTTTCCCGTCACGAATGACCAGGGCTGGTGCGTGGTAATCTATCAGAGATCTTATATAGCCTAGGTACATTGTTTTAACAATTCTAATATTAGCACCATAGTGCGGGCTGTACCCCGCTACACTTCTAAGAGGTCTCAGTCTGTCAGTACATTGGCGGGTTAGCTGTTGTATGGCAGGTAGGGTACAAGGGACGGAAACACCAAGATATTTAAAAGAAGAAACATAGTTAATAGTGTTGTTACCTTTCTTGAACTTGGCGGGGCCGCGTTTGCGGTTATCAGCTTGTTTGTTGAACGCCTAAGTTTTTTCAGTGGAGAAAATAAGACCGAGGTTCTCACAGGCTGCGTATACATGGTTCAGGGTGGTTTGCATTTCACGATGAGTTTTAGTATGTATAAGAATATCATCAGCATAGTTGATTGAGATATTGCTGGGGTTGTCTGGTATTAAATTAATAATGCATTCATAAGAACATTGAACAAAGTGGGGCTAAGCACTCCACCTTGAGGGGCACCAAGTTGCATATCTTTAACTTCATTTTTGTAGCCCTGAAACAGTGCAGCAGCCCTTCTGTTGGTTAGGTAACCACTTATCCAGTGTAACAGCCTACCTCCTATATCCATTTTGGCTAGTTCGTACAATATCAGTTGCCTATTGGCAATATCAAATGCAGCTTTTAGGTAGAGAAATGTGGTGTATCTGTGCCTTTCATCACCCTGCACAGTTAGGAATGTGGTGATGCAATTATGTACACCTTTACCATGGGTGAAGCCATTTATGTTAGGAGACATGTGTTCTCTGATTCTATATAAGAGTCTGCCAAGAACCATCCTCTCAAAGGTTTTACACAGGCAGCTGGTTAGTGATATGGGACGAAAAGCATCAGGCTGTCCTGGTTTCGGTATTGGTACAACAATACTGTTGGTCCATGATGTGGGTAGTTGGCCCTCGGCATGACTCATATTGTACAATACCAACATTGGATTGCCTGGCACGCGCCTTAGTAGTCTAACGATGTTGTAGGTGACTCCGTCCTCTCCAGGGGAAGTAGACCTACCCCTGGCGAGGGCGGCGTCAAGCTCCCACTCAGTATATGGAACCTCACACTCATCGTTCTGTTTGCTCAGCATAAAGTTAATAAGATTACTTCTCTCTACAGACTTCGCATCAAGGAGTCCCCGAGTCCTAGCTGGTAACATGTCATAGCTAGACACATGAGCCCACTTTGTATATAAGTTCGCCCAGCACATACTGTTAGCACCTGTGTTAACCCATGATCCGTCTTTAAAGGGTTATGGACGGGAAGATGTTGTCTGTCAGGTGGTTTGTTTAGGTCAGTTTAGTTTAGTTTAGTAACTCTCCGCCATGGAGTGTTGCCTTGTCCTCGCCTTCTTTTTCAACGGCGCCGCCCCGAAGACTGGATTCTTGTCAACCTTGGCATTGAAGTCTCCAGGCAGGATCAGCTGGTCCTCCTTGGGGGGTGGCAGTCATTACCACCTCCCAGGTCAGAGTTCAACTGCTCTTTAGTGACCTCAGTAGCAAAGTTCGTGACACAGACGCTGATGATGAACCTGTTAGTTGTTATGGGAAGCTTCTTACTGCAGACTTTGAGCTCGAGCAGGTGACCAAAGATCTTATCATGGTAAAACAGACGCTATGTGTCCACCCCTTATCTCCCTTCACTCGAGTCTGGTAGTTGTAAGTTTGTCCGGGAGGGGGCGGGATGATCTGGCTGACTCACGCCATTGTTTTTGTCTGGTAATTTCGACCTCAGAGATGATGATCCGCCGCTCATGTTTTCCCAGTAATGTCCCCGAGGCCAGGACAAGGTACAGGACCCGGAGTCTGAGAGCCTTGCATGTCGACGATAACCACACCAACATTTTCTGTACCACTCACACTACGGGACAGCTATGATGACCACAGTGACGCTTAAACAGTGATGGACCATGGAACAGAAACATGGACCATGGAACAGAAACATGGACCATGGAACAGAGATGAACCATGGAACAGAAACATGAACCATGGAGAGCATGGACCATGGAACAAAAACATGAACCACGGAACAGAAATATGGACCATGGGACAGTGATGGGCCATGGAACTGAGAAGGACCATAGGACAATGATGGACCATGGAACAGTGATGAACCATGGAACAGAAACATGGACCATGGAACAGAAACATGAACCATGGAACAGAAACATGAACCATGGAACAACATGGACCATGGGACAAAAACATGGACCACGGAACAGAAAATATGGACCATGGAACAGTGATGGACCAGAACAGAAACATGGACCATGGAACAATGATGGATCATGGAACAGAAACATGGACATGGAACAGACAAGACCATGGAACAGAAACATGGACCATGGAACAAACATGGATCATGGAACAGAAACATGGACCATGGAACAGCATGGACCATGGAACAATGATGGATCATGGAACGAAACATAGACCATGGAACAGACATGGACCATGGAACAGCATGGACCATGGAACAAAACATGGACCGTGGAACAGTGATGGGCATAGTAGAGATGTATCGTGGAAGAAACAAGAGACTTACGACAGTACAGTAGTTGGTGGTGAAGGAGGCTGGGAAAAGGTTACAGGAAACTCACCTTAAAGTTGCCCAGCTTTATCGGCGCATATGGGCGGTATGATGGCCAGGAGGGGCGTGATGGTATAACACCCCGGCCGTCCCCGGAACCCAAGAGACTGTGGGTGCACCGCAAGTAAGTACAGTGTCGTGTTGGCTGTGGAGGAAGACTGTTGCTCTGACCGAACTTGGGTACATGGTCGAGGGGTGATGTTATACTGAGGAACCAGATTTAAACACAGTAACGACACAGATTGATCGTATTCATGTGTGTGTGTGTGTGTGTGTGTGTGTGTGTGTGTGTGTGCGTGCGTGCGTGTGTGTGTGTGTGTGTGTGTGTGTGTGTATATATATATAATAATATATATATATATAATTAACGGTTTATTGGAAAAGTTCTGCAGCCCGATAGCTGAAAATACATTGAACATAAATGACTTATTACATACATTGGTGGTTTAACAAAGCCTTACCGAAAGAGTAAAAGAACTACAGTGAATATACTAGATTAAAGTAGGTGATGAACAGGAAACCACAGTAATAATTCCCTCCCAGATGGTGTTATGAGGCCTGACGTAGTGTAGTAGTTCCTCACACATGGTGTTATGAGGGACCTGACGTGGTTAATAGTAGTTCCTCACAGATGATGTGAGGACTGGTGGTGGTGTAGCCTCCTCCCAGATGGTGTTATGAGGGACCTGACGTGGTGTTGTGGTTCCTCACAGATGGTGTTATAAGGGACCTGACGTGGTGTAGTAATTCCCTCTAGATGGTGTTATGAGGGACCTGACGTGGTGTAATAGTTCCCTCACAGATGGAGTGTGTGTGTGTGTGTGTGTGTGTGTGTGTGTTGTGTGTGTGTGTGTGTGTGTGTGTGTGTGTGTGTGTGTGTGTGTGTGTGTGTGTGTGTGTGTGTGTGTTTCATTAAGCCGACTTGTTTAGCAAAAAATTTTTTGAAAAATTGTAAAAGTTAAATATTTTTGTTTTATTTTCTTTATGCAGCATGAATTTTCAACAGGTTTCATTTTTTTTACGTTTTATCGTTCTCTATCATCTCTCTATCTATCTCCTATCTATATCTATCTATCTATCTCCAGGGCCAGGCAGGGATCATCTATACAGGACACCCTATCATTGACGTTATGTACCTCAATAACTAAAGTATAACAAGGGTTAGTTATTACACCAGTCAACAACAGTTATAAGTTATGGGAGTTACAACAGTGTGTCTATACATGTCTCTGGGGCCTTTTTAATACACAGGTAAATCGAATAAATCATAAAATGAAAGAAAAAAAAAGAAATTGAAAAGTGTAAACAATGATATTTATTTATTAAAAGGAACTGACGTATAATGCCGTACCCCTTAACATGCGTATGTTTGGCTATCTCGTATCATGATAAAGCATTAACTAATTTAGGATTAAAACAGATTTCTAGTTCATTATTATTTTCTTGTTTCATTTTCTATTTTCATCTTTCGTGACGAGTCTTTAAAAGCTATTCACGTGGAAAGTTGTCATCTGACCTTTGTGCATTATTATGACAGATACTATTATTGATCCCGTCACCCCCACATTACCCACCTACCAGGCCACGTATCATAGCCCCCCTCCCCCAACACACACGTCAGCTTCCACCTACCAGCACCACGCATCATAGCCCCCTCCCCCCAACACACGTCCAGCCCACCCACCAGGACCACGTATCATAGCCCACCCTCCAACACACGTCAAACCCACCTACCAGCACCACGTATCATAGCCCCCCCATACACGTCCAGCTCCACCTACCAGGACCATGTATCATAGCCCCCCCCCAACACAAATGTCCAGCTCCACCTACCAAAATACCACGCATCATAGCCCTCCACCCTCCCCAACACACGTCAAACCCACCTACCAGGACCACGTATCATAGCCTCCCCCATACACGCCGCTCCACCTACCAGCACCACGCATCATACAGCCCCCCCAACACAATGCTTCGTCAAGCCCACATACCAGCACCCACGTATCATAGCCCCCTCCCCCCCAACACACGCCCAGCCCACCTACCAGCACCACGTATCATAGCCCCACCCCAACACACGTCCAGCCCACCTACCAGCACCACGTATCATAGCCCCCCTCCCCCAACACACGCCTTCCAGCCCACCTACCAGCACCACGCCGTATCATAGCCCCACCCCAACACACGTCCAGCCCACCTACCAGCACCACGTATCATACGCCCACCTCCCCCCCAACACACGTCAATCCCACCTACCAGCACCACGCATCATAGCCCACCCCCCAACACACGTCCAGGCCACCTACCAGCACCACGCATCATAGCGCCCCAATACACGTCCAGCCCACCTACCAGCACCACGTATCATAGCCCACCCTCCCCAACATACGTCAAGCTTCCACCTACCAGCACTCCATCAGATCATAGCCCCCGGCCCCCAAATACACGTCCAGCCCACTTCAACAGCAATCACGTATCATAGCCCCCCAACATTAATGTCCAGCCCACCTACCAGCAATTAACACGTATCATAGCCCCCTCCCCCAACAACACACGCCGCTTCCACCTACCAGCACCACGTATCATAGCCCCTCCCCTAACACACGTCAAGCCCACCTAACAGCACCACGCATCATAGCCCCATACACGTCCAGCTCCACCTACCAACACCACGTATCATAGTCCCACACGTCCAGCTCCACCCACCACAGCACCACGTTTCTGCATCATAGCCCCCACAGCACGTCCAGCCCACCTACCAGCAACCACGATCATAGCCCCCACACACGTCCAGCCCACCTACCAGCACCACGTATCATAGCCCCCCCACACACGTCCAGCCAACCCACCAGCACCACGCATCATATAGCCCCCCCCCACACACGTCCAGGCCACCCAACAGCACCACGCATCATAGCCCCACACACGTCCAGCCCACCTACCAGCACCACGCGTCATAGCGCCCCCACACACGTCTCAGCCCAGTCTCTTACCAGCACCACGTACTATAGCCCCTGTCCACGTCCAGCCCACCTACCAGCACCACGTATCATAGCCCCACACACGTCCAGCCCACCCACCAGCACCACGTATCATAGCCCCACCACACGTCCAGCCCACCCACCAGCACCACGTATCATAGCCCCCCCACACACGTCCAGCCCACCTACCAGCACCAGCGTCATAGCCCCCACAACACGTTCAGCCCACCTACCAGCACCACGTATCATAGCCCCCCACACGCGTCCAGCCCACCTACCAGCACCACGTATCATAGCCCCCCACACACGTTCAGCCCACTCCACTGCAGCACACAACGTGTCATAGCCCCCACACACGTCAAGCCCACCTAACAGCACCACGTATCATTGCCCTCCCCAACACACGTCAAGCCCACCTACCAGCACCACGTATCAGGCCCCTCTCCCCCAACACACGTCCAGCACCACCTACCAGCACCACGCATCATAGCCCCCCTCCCCCCCAACACACGTCAAGCCCACCTACCAGCACCACGTATCATAGCCCCCCTCCCCAACACACGTCAAGCCCACCCACCAGCAACTAATGCATCATAGCCCTCCCCCCAACACACGTCAAGCTCCACCTACCAGCACCACGCATCATAGCCCCTCCCCCAACACACATCAGCCCCACCTACCAGCACCACGTATCATAGCCCCTCCCCCCACACAATGTCCTGCCCACCTACCAGCACACCACGTATCATAGCCCCCACACACGTTCAGGCCACCCACCAGCACCACGTATCATAGCCCCCACACACACGTCCAGCCCCACCTACCAGCAACATGCATCATAGCCCGCCCACACGTCTAGCCCACCCACCAGCACCACGCATCATAGCCCCCCCCCCACACACGTCCAGCCAACCTACCAGCACCACGTACTACAGCCCCCCACACGTCCAGCCCACCTACCAGCACCACGCATCATAGGCCCCCCACACACGTCCAGCCCACCTACCAGCACCACGGGATCATAGCCCCACACACGTCCAGCCCACCTACCAGACCCACGTATCATAGCCCCCCACACGTCCAGCCCACCCACCAGCACCACGCCGCATCATATTCCCCCACTTACGTCCAGCCCACCTACCAGCACCACGTATCATAGCCCCTCACACACGTCCAGCCCATCTACCAGCACCACGTATCATAGCCCCATCGTCCAGCCCACCCACCAGCACCACGCCGTGTCATAGCCCCCACACACGTCCAGCCCCACCCATCATACCCACGTATCATAGCCCCCCACACACGTCCAGCCCACCCACCAGCACCACCGCATCATAGCCCCCACCACACGTCCAGCCCACCCACCAGCACCACGTATCATAGCCCCCCCCACACACGGCCAGCCCACCCACCAGCACCACGCATCATAGCCCTCCCACACACGTCCAGCCCAATTCTACCAGGACCACGTATCATAGCCCCCTCCCCGAACACACACGTCAAGCTCCACCTACCAGCACCACGCATCATAGCTCCCCACACGTCGAGCCCATCTACCAGCACCACGTGTCATAGCACCCCACACACGTCCAGCCCACCCACTAGCACCACGCATCATAGCCCCACACACGTCCAGCCCACCTACCAGCACCACGCATCATAGCCCCCACACACGTCCAGTCCACCCACCAGCACCAGCCGCATCATAGCCCCCCACACAATGTCCAGCCCACCTACCAGCACACCACGCATCATAGCCCCCCCCTACACACGTCCAGCCCACCTACCAGCCCACGTATCATAGCCCCCACACACGTCCAGCCCACCTACCAGCACAACGTATCATAGCCCCCACACACGTCCAGTCCACCTACCAGCACCACGCATCATAGCCCCCCCACACACGTCCAGCCCACCTACCAGCTCCACGCATCATAGCCCCCCCACACACGTCCAGCATACCTACTAGCACCACGCATCATAGCCCCCACACAATGTCCAGCCCACCCACCAGCACCACGTATCATAGCCTCCCCCACACACGTCCA